CGTTCGTGCGCCCCCTGGGGCCCGAGGAGGCGCCTATCCCCGATAGTGAGAGACGAGGGGAAATCGGAGAAAGGAGCGAGCTCTGCAAAGGTAGGCCCCAGCGGGCCCAGTGTCGCCAGCTTGACTGACAGATCGGGAATGCCAGGGTAAGCTTGGCGACTCGATGACCCAGAGGTGGGGGGATCTCAAACCTCGCGGCTGGGGGCGCATGCTTGTCGGTTTCGACTTGCCCAGCGAGGGCCCACTGGTGCGCGCGGACCAGAGCGCCGACGTCGCCATAGGCCGCGCAGAGGATGCGCCGCCGGTGTATGGTGGCCATTCGCCAGCGGAGATGGTATCCGCCGAATCCATCCCCGCGGCGATCGGCGCCAGGTCTACGAGCGAGCTCTGGCAGCAGATTGTTGACGCCAGCAATTCAAGTTAAGGCGCCCCGCCAGATTACATGAAGCAGCTCGTCTGTTGCTAGGTCGCCTCGCAGCAGGCGGACGCGTTGGGGGTCCAATGTGCCGCGCTCGTGGACGACTTGGAGCGTTCTCGCTGCCCCGTCCGCGATATCGCAATGAGAGGCCGACCGACGTTCCCAGGGCGTGGGGGAGCTTGTCAATGCAATTGGACCAGAAGCATTCTTCGCGGGCCCCGCCGACCTAGACCTGCAGATCAACGTGCCGAATGGGGGCCCGCGCCGCTGCGGCGCTTTGCGACTGCGACGCGCTCTTGGAGTGTCAGAATGGAATGCGACAGAAGTTGTGGCCGTTATTATCAGTTGCAGGCAGTTGGTGTATGAGGCCAGTTGGGCGCAAGGAATCGACGACGGCAGCTCTTCGCGGATCTCTGTGGGAGCAGCGACTGTCGGGCGTCAGCTCGCTCGACCGCCCGGCGATCCAGCGCGCGATGGGGCGCGCGCGAGCGGGGGCAAATTGGGACCTGAGGGGGGGTGTCAAGGCCAGCAGTCGGGATTGCGCGAAACGGCATAGCACGACGTGTGATAGCATGCATGGCGCGCTGCATCGGCCAGCGTGAATGCAGGGGCGCCGACCGGCGCCATTTGTCGGCGACCTGCGGGGCAAGGCCGAGCAGGGCCCAACCAATATCTAGACGGTTGAGGACTTCGATCGCGCGCTACAGGGGGAGCCGGATGGAGGGCGCAGCCCAGGCGAGATTGCGATGACTGGTGCTGGGGGGCTCCCCGCGGAGGGCCGCCAGGCATTGGTTGGCGTGTTTAATAGTTGCAAGGCGCAACCTGGCTGGCCGTGGCAGGGCGTGCTTGCCCTGGTTATGCCGCTACAGCCAGCGCGGAAGAGGCGATCGAGCATTGGCGCTCGTAGCATCGTTCTACAGATGCTGCGAGCAGGCGGCAGATTCGTGAATGGGTGAGGGGCATGCAGCAGAAGTGCGGAGCCGCGGTGGCAGGCAGCTCCCGCGTGCGAGGAGCGCTTGCACGCGTGATCTCAGGCGAAGTCGGCCGTGGGCTGGACATCTCGCGCGGGTCGGGTCTTGTGGGGGTCGAAAGATGCTGCGATTATGTGGGCCACTGTGGAGTGGGGAAGGCCGCCGCGAAATATGGATCCCCATCGCGTATCCTTGTTGCGGCGCTCTCCGCGCGCGCGACGGCGAGAATCCGCCGGCGAAGCAATTCCTTCAGCGACCCTATTCGCGCCGCGCGGTTCTGGAAGGTCTTGCTGGCGAGCTTCCTGACCCGCTCGTTTCTGCCGCCCGTGGCGTCTTCCTGGAGCTCAAGGCGCAGCCTCTTGTTATGGTGGACATGTCGGTTATCTTCGCCAGCTGCCCCAAGCTGACCAATAACGTCATCGACGAGCACCTTGCGCTACGGGTGCCCATCGCCAAGGAAGCCGAAGGCAGAGACTTGGGCATCGGCCGCGGGGATAGCGCAACGACGCGACAGAGCTCTCGCCTGAGGCGCGGGCGAGGAGCCTCAGGACGATTTGGGCGCAGTGCCTGGAAGATGCAGCCTCTTGCCATCAGAAGAAAGAAGCAGTTCGCCAGGCAGGGGCCCGTCGCCTCGACGATTTATATGCGTCGCGTATATGGTGCTTTCCACTCCGAGATCTCGAAGACCATGCAGCCATGCACTATGGCACTTCGGAGACCTTGGCTAGGGAGGTGCGCGACGGCGCCGCTCGACCTCGAAGGTGGTGGCCCAAGGGTCACCATCCTTAAGCTACAGCTGCAGTCCGATCTGTGGGCCGAGCGACCTGATGTTCGCGGCGGAATCTATGTGGCGCGACCCAAGATGCGACGGCGATTTCCAGATGCAACACCCCGGCATCATTGGCAGCAGAAGCGCGGGGCAATCGGCCGCGTGACTCTTTGCCCTTTGGGAACGTGGATGGGATCGCCTCGCGGCGGACACTTGGGCAGTCGCGGAAGGTGGTGCGCGGGCGTTCACTGACCCCGAGCAGGCCAGCGACCCCGCCGCCTTGGCCGACGTCGTGATGCAAGACGTTGAATTTAATTAGTGGGGGAAAGCGGCAAAGCGCCGCAACGGGGCGGGATGTAAATGCGGAGCAGACAATGCTGACCCACGACGGCGAGTCAGACCCTGAGTCGGCCGAGGGCGTCGCGCCGAGCATGGTGCTTTATTGGCAGCTGCTTGCGCGGGCGCTTGGACTGAACGGCGTAAGAGCGAGGTTGGACGACGCGGGGGAAGTTGCCCTGTGGCCAAGAAGAAAAGGACTACCATCGGATTGGGGGCCAGTGCCAGGCTCGGGATTACATGCCCGCTTTCGTGAAACCAGACTACTCACAATGGCGAGCTGGTCAGCGAAAAGATTGTGCGTCATGCTTGTGGCTCAGAGGTGCCGCGCCGAGGAAATGGGCGTGCCCCGAACCGTGCGACGCGGCCGACAGCGAGACTGACGTGGGTGAGTGCATTGGCGCGTTGACTTTGCTCGCCGAGCCAGGGCCCGCTCGCCACCTACGGCAACGGCAGTGGGGGTGAAAGCTCGTGAGACATTTGATATGTGAGGCGTGGTTGGTCCCGGGTCAGGCTAGGAGTCGATCGGCGCGGCGAGTGCAGTGTCTGCGCAGGCACGCGAGGACCTCTTCCAGGACCCCGACAGAGCCGCGATCGAGCGGATGTCTGGACTTTTTACAGCTGTTCAATAGGAACCTCTGGACTACTGCAATGTTGTGCCAGAGCTGGCACCTTTGCTTCCGGCCGGAAGGGGGAGCGTCACGCCTGGTCTGCCAATGAAATTTTAATTCAGGTTTGTGGGAAATGATCGGTACTGGGCTGGCGAGTTGGACCATGACCAGTGAAGGTTTCACAGCGTAAAATCCAGCTCTCATGCGAGCAAACTTTCCGACACGATCTCCAAAACTTGCTTGGGCTTACAAGTCTGGTGGTGATGACTTTGTGGGCTACGCTGCAGCTGTCCTCGGCATCTCTCAGGCGTGGTTGGACTGCTGCGACAGGATTCGTGCCGCAGCTGTTCCATGTCGCGATCGGATTTGCCTTCCACGAGGGGCGCATTCAAAAGGATAACTTCTGAACAAGCAGACCTTCGCCAACCGCGAGTTGATGAGACAGCTGAGGCGTCAGAAGAAGCACCGCAGCTGACGCCTATCCCTGGCTGGGCCTGGAGAGAAAAGCACGACCCGCCGAAGGGCGCGAAGCTGGCCCGATAGTCGACGGCGCGGGCTAGCCGACCGCGGCGTGGAATCTTGATCGGAGGGCAGTACTCGCACCGCTGGCACCTGGTGCTGTACAATGCAACGGAAAGTGGCAGTGTGCGTTGTGCGCGGCCCGTGCCAATCCTGGACGGAGTGTTTGAGCATCCCGCTGATATGTGCAATGGTTTGCCCACTTCACCGACAGCGTTCTACTACATGACAAGAAGGTTACATACAGTACTTGGGATGAATTCTTATAGCAATGCTTATCCCTCGGACAGCGCATCGACGTCGAGTAGGGGGACTTACCGCAAGACTTGGCCTGTGGCCAGCCCCCGTTCAGGTTGCTGGTTATTTTGGGATGCTTGCAGGGGTGGGGGATTCGCGTTCCCGCCATTGTGCGAGAGCGGGGGGAGGGCCCTTCCCGCGATGCCCTCCCCCCATTCAGGGACTGCCAGAGTGAGTGGGGCATTATTCAACATCGAGCTGGCAGGCCCCGCCACAGGGTCCCCTCAGGCTAATCGTTTTTTTTGGTTGGGCCTGGTCGGCCTAGCCCTGGAGAGTCTCATGCGCTGGGCCATCCTGGGCGGGGTCATCATCGCGCTGGACTGGGTCACCCTGGACGGGGTCAGTCTGGTGCTGGATTGGGTCATCCTCGGCGGGGACATCACGGTGCTGGGCTGGGTCATCCTTGATTTAGTCAGCCTCTTGCTGGACTGGGTCACGCTTGGCGCGGACGGCCGCGTGCTGGACTTGGTCTTCCTCGACTGGGTCACCCGTGTGTTGGACAGGTCATTTTTCACTTGGTCAGCCACGTGGTGGATTGGGTCATCCTTCCGCCTCTTTGCTGGACTGGGGTCGCCCTCCACGTGGGCAACATCGTGCTGGACTGGGGCACCCTTGAATCTGTCAGCCAGTTACTGGAGTGGGCCACCCTCGTGTGGGTCAGCCTCGTGTTGGACTGTCCAGGCCCGAGCTGGGCCGTGGACCGTGCGCGGCCCGCCGCCCGTACCGACAGCGTCGGGGCCCCCGTCCCGCGCCCTCCTCTTCACTCCCCCCCCTCCTCCTCCCCCCCCCTTCTCCCCCTCCTCTCCTTCCCCCTCACCCCCCTCGAGGTGGAACATCGGCTGGTGATGTGCACTAAGAACCTCCACGCCCTGCTTGCTCATCACTTTTTTGGGTGACGAGGCCAGAGTCGCCACTCACCAAGCAGCGTTCCCGCCGGTGATGGAGACCTGCCCGTGCCCTGACTGACGGCAGTGATTATCCCCTTCCCCTTCATCTCCTTCCCTCTCCCCTCCCTCCCTCCCTCCCTCCCTCCCCCTTCCTCCCTCCTTCCTCCCTCCCCCTCCCGCGGCGGCGGCGAGGCCCAGCAGGCGCGCCTGCAACACAACATCGAGAAGCAGCGCCAGACGGAGCAGGACCGCAGCCTCATGGTGGCGGCCATCGAGGCCTGGGCCGCCTGCGAGGGCGCAGGAAGAGCAGGCCAAGGTTGACATGTGGCGATGATGTTGGTGATGGTGATGCTGCTACTGCTGATGATGATGATGCTGATGATGGCGACGACGATGCTGCTGATGATGATGGGACGGCGGCGATGATGATGATGATGATGATGATGATGATGATGATGATGATGATGATCATGATCATGATCATGATGATGATGATGATGATGATGATGATGATGATGATGATGGTGATGGTGATGATGATGTCGACGACGACGATGATGACGGCGATGCTGATGATAATGGTGATGATGCTGCTGATGATGATGGTGATGGTGGCAACAATGAGGCTGACGACGACGATGCTGATGATGATGACGACGATTAGGTTAAGGATGAGGATGGGAATGATGCTGATGATGAGAATGATGATGAATATGATGCTGGTGATAATGCTGATGCTGCTGATGATGATGCTGCTGCTGATGCTGATGATGATGCTGCTGGTGATGATGGCGACGCGAATGATCATGATGACGACGTTGTTGTTGATGCTGATGATGGTGATGCTGATGATGCTGCTGCAGATGATACTGACGATGATGATCATGATAATGATGCTGATGATGATGCTGCTGCTGGTGATGATGGCGACGCGAATGATCATGATGACGATGTTGTTGATGATGACGATGATGATGGTGGTGGTGGTGCTGATGGTTCTGATGATGATGCTGATGATGATGATGATGATGACGATGCTGATGATGATGACGATACTGATGATGCTGATGCTGATGATGATGATGATGATGATGATGATGATGATGTTGATGATGTTGATGATGATGATGATGATTATTATGCTGCTGCTGCTGCTGATGATGATGATGATGATGAGAATGATGATGAATCTGGTGCTGGTGATGATGCTGCTGATGATGATGCTGCTGATGCTGATGATGATGCTGCTGGTGATGATAGCGACGATAATGATCATGATGACGATGTTAATGAAGATGCTGATGCTGATGATGATGCTGATGATGGTGATGATGGTGATGCTGATGACGACGACTGTGATGATGATGCTGATGAGAATGCAGATGGTGCTGATGATGACGATGGCAATGCCGATGATGATGATGATGATGCTGCTGATGCTGATGCTGATGCTGATTCGGATGCTGATGCTGATGCTGATGCTGATGATGGTGGTGATGGTGATTGCTATCATGATGGCGATGATGCTGATGCTGATGCTGATGCTGCTGCTGACGACGATGATGCTGATGATGATGGATGTGAGGAGGAGGTGGATGCGCAGGATGCTGATGATGCTGATGACCATGATGCTGATGATGATGATGACGATGATGATGACGACGATGATGATGATGATGATGATGATGATGATGTTGATGATGATCAGGATGATGAACATGCTGCTGATGATGATGCTGATGCTGATGATGATGCTGATGATGATGCTGCTGTTGATGAATCTGAGGATGATGATGATAGTGATGATGATGATGATGATGATGATGATGATGATGATGATGATGCTGATGATGATGATGATGATGATGATGATGATGCTGATCATGCTGCTGATGATGACGACGACGATGATGATGATGATGCTGATGATGATGATGATGAGGATGCTGATGATGGTGATTCTAATGGTGATAATGCTGCTGTTGATGCTGATGATGATGATGCTGATTATGATGATGCTGATGAGGATGCTGATGCTGATGCTGATGCTGATGATGATGCTGATGCTGATGATGGTGATGATGATGATGATGATGATGATGATGATGATGATGATGATGATGATGATGATGTGTGGTGGGTGGTGACCGTTGGTGTGGTGGTGTAGGTGATCGTGATATGATGTTGATGTGTAGATGTAGGATGATGCTGATGATGATGATGATGATGATGATGATGATGAGGATGATGATGATGATGATGAGATGATGATGATGATGATGATGATGATGATGAGATGATGATGATGAGATGATGAGAGGACGAAGATGATGATGATGAATGATGGAGGAGAGGAGGAGGAGGGAGGAGGAGGGGGAGGGAGGAGGGAGGAGGAGGAGGAGGAGGAGGAGAGAGGATGCAGGAGGAGGAGGAGGAGGAGGAGGAGGAGAGGAGGAGGAGGAGGAGGAGGAAGAAGGAAGAAGAAGAAGAAAAACGAAGAAGAAGAAGAAGAAGAAGAAGAAGGAAGGAGGAGGAGGAGGAGGAGGAGGAGAGGGAGGAGGAGGAGGAGGAGGAGAGGAGGAGGAGGAAGAGAGAGGCGAGGAAAGGTGGAGGAGGAGGAAGGAGGAGGAGGGGGAGGAGGAGGCCGGCGAGGAGGAGGAGGAGGAGGGTAGAGGAGGAGGAAGGAGGAGGAGGAGAGGTGGAAGAGGAAGGAGGAGGGGAGGCGGGGAGGAGGAGGAGGAGGAGGAGGAGGAGGAGGAGGAGATGAGGAGGAGGAAGAGGAGGAGGAGGAGGAGGTAGAGAAGGAGGAGGAGGAGGAGGGCGAGGAGGAGGAGGAGGAGGAATAGGTGGTGGAGAGGAGGATGCAGGAGGAGGATGAGGAGGAGGAGGATGAGGAGGATAATGAGGAGATGAAAAGCAGGAAGCGGAGGAGGAGGAGGAGGAGGAGGAGGAGGAGGAGGAGGCGAGGAGGAGGAGGAGGAGGAGCAGTAGGATGAGAGTTAGCAGCAGCTGCGGCAGCAGCAGCAGCAGCGTCAGTTGTGTTTGAGGCACCAGGGACGACAACAGCAGCAGTTGGCAGAAACGGGCGCGTGAGGTGCTCAGGGACATGCTGTTCTCCCGCTTCTCTGGGATTCAAACGACGTCTCTGTGCCGTCGATTATACGTAGTGCGTTTTTCATTGGAAACGTTAGCAACGGCGCTGACTCCACTGAGGAAGGCTCCAGCGGACGTTTGAAGTTGTTCACTCTGTCTGTCCCGCTCAACCCTCCCGTTTTGACCACCCCCGACTCTCATCTGCAACTGCACGGGCCTGTCATCGTACGTCTACATGGGTATGTCGAGGCCCAGCCTGTCGCGAACTCGGGCAGAGAACCCCTCCCGACGGCCCCACAGGCTCGGCGATAACTCTCCCCCACGGCCCCTCCAGATTCCTCTGCCCGCGCTCGAGGTGGCCCGACAGCACCTCGAGCTCGCAGGAAGAGGCGCACCGACCGAGCCCCGCCAGGGTGTGCAGGCTTCACCGACGACGGCTCGCAGTGACGGGGAGGAGCGCGTGACTGCCAGGGGCGAGGGCGGCGCCCCGAGCCGCGCACGGGGCGGGCCTGGCCCGCCGAGCGCAGGCCGAGCGCAGCAAGCTCAGCCAGCTGCGCGCCGAGCGGATGAAGCTGTGCGAGGCCGCCCCCCCGCGCCGCGCCGCGCGGCCCCGGCCGGGCCCAGCGTGCGCTGGCCTCTGCACGCTTCGGGGCGGAGTGGGGCAACGTCGGGGTGGTGGGGGCGAGCTCGAGCTTCGAGGCTCGAGGTCTTCGGGGGTCTTCGTGGGCTCCCTGCGGCTGCCCGGCCTCGGGGGTGCTCTCCAGCGCGGCGCCTCGCCGAGAGCGCCCCCTGGGGGTGCCCAGATTGGCCCCGAGCGGCCGCTGGAGAGCCGAGATGTGACCCGAAACGAAACCCAGGGGGCAACGTTAGGGGGGGGAAGGCTCAGCCTCCTCCTCCTCCTCCTCCTCGCTCCTCCTCCTCGGTCCTCCTCCTCAGTCCTCCTCCTCCTCCTCGGTCCTCCTCCTCAGTCCTCCTCCTCCTCCTCCTCCTCTCCTCCTCCTCCTCCTCCTCCTCCTCCTCCTCGGTCAGGGGGGGACGCATCGGCCCCCGGTCGCCCATTCATCGCCGATGGGAGCCCGACAGCCCCACACCGACCAGGAGCGCGCGGACTCGCCATCGGGGGCCTATCGTCGAGCTGTCGGCGACGCATCGTCGATTCCAAGTCGACGTTGCCCCCCTGAGCCGGTCCCCCCCCGTCGTTCCCCCTTCACAACGGCCGATGCAGGGCGGTTATGCAGAATGACCCCGTCCTCGAGGGATCGGTGGGCCGACGTCGCGCCCTCGGCGGAGCCTCCTCCTCCCGCTTCCGCTCCCCCCCTTCCTCCCCGTCTTTCTCCTCCCCCCTTCCTCCCTGCTCCCCCTTCCTCCTGCCCCCCTCCTTCCTCCTTCCTCCTCCTTCCTCCTTCCTCCTTCCTCCTGCCCTTCTTCCTCCCCCCCTTCTTCCTGCTCCCTTCTCCCGCTCCTCTTGTTGTTGCTCCTCCTCCTCTTAGCCGCCTGCGGGCTGGGCGGACCCAGCGGCACTACAACAGGGGCTTCCTGCAGCAGTCCTGGTCTCCTCCTCCTCCTCCCTCCCTCCCTCCTCTCTTCCCTCCCTCTCTCCTCCCTCCCTCCCCATTTCTCCCCCATGCTCCCTCCCCCTCCCCCCTCTACGATTACACAATATGAATGCTACTATGCCATGCCATGCCATGTCATGCTACGCGTTGATCTTCAACACCATGCTATGCCATGTAATACTATGCCATGCTGCGACATCCGACTGTGCGAATAGAGAAGATCTCTACGCCATGCTAAAGGATGGGAATGAGGGGTAGGACATTAGATGTGACGCGAGCGCACCTAGCTCGCCTCCCTCCCCTCCCCTCCCCCCTTCCCACCCTCCCCCCCTTAATCCCCTTTCCCCCCCCCATCCCTGCTCCTCCTGCTCCTGCTGCCGCCTCCTCTCTCCTCCCACAGCGCTGGCCTCCCCCCCCCACCTGAGGAGAGACTGGTGCTGGAGAGGGAGATGGCGCAGATCGCGCAGAAGCACTGGGAGGCCCCAGCGCCCTGCAGCCTGCCGCTCTCGCGAGACGCTCGTCGTCGTCGTCGTCGTCGTCGTCGTCGTCGCCGACGATGTCGTCGCCCGTTGCTCGTCGGGGCTTTTGGAGAATTCGGCGGGTTTCGTCGGTTTCCGAAGGACTAACCTTCGTTTCGGAAGGTTTGGAAGCGCCATGGGAGGGAGGGAGAGGGGGAGGGGCAGAGGGGGAGCGGGACGGGGGCAGGCCGAGTGGGGATTGAGCGTCATGGGAGGGGGAGGTTAGAGGGGTAGGGGGGCGGAGAAGGAGGAGAGGGGGGAGGGAGAGTGGGGAGAGGGGGAGGGAGAGGGGGGAGAGGGGAGGCAGAGGGGGCGGAGAAGGGGGAGGGCGAGGGGGGAGAAGGGAGGGAGAGGGGGGAGAGGGGGAGGGAGGGGGGGGGCAGGGGGGAGGGAGAGGGGGCGGAGAGGTGGGGAGGGAGAGGGGGGAGAGCTTCGGGGCTCGTGCCAGGAAGTAGCGCTGAACCCTTCGGGGCTCGTGCTCGCAGTCACGTGGCGCTGAACCCTTCGGGGCTCGTGCCACCCTTCGGGGCTCGTGCTGTGGGCGTGAACCCCACTAGCGCTGAACCCTTCGGGGCTCGTGCTATTATTTCTACTGTGGGCGCTGAACCCTTCGGGGCTCGTGCTCGCAGTCACGTGGCGCTGAACCCTTCGGGGCTCGTGCCACTAGCGCTGAACCCTTCGGGGCTCGTGCTATTATTTCTACTGTGGGCGCTGAACCCCTCGGGGCTCGTGCTCGCAGTCACCTGGCGCTGAACCCTTCGGGGCTCGTGCCACTAGCGCTGAACCCTTCGGGGCTCGTGTTGCTTCAACTGGGGGCGCTGAACCCTTTGGGGCTCGTGCTCGCAGTCACCTGGCGCTGAACCCTTCGGGGCTCGTGCCACGAAGTAGCGCTGAACCCTTTGGGGCTCGTGCTATTTCAACTGTGGGCGCTGAACCCTTCGGGGCTCGTGCTCGCAATTTCCTGGCGCTGAACCCTTCGGGGCTCGTGCCAGGAAGTAGCGCTGAACCCTTCGGGGCTCGTGCTACTGAGTCGATTCGTATCGCCCTGCTCATTATTGAAGCACACATTCTGCCCCTGTGAATAAGGGGACGCTAGCGCCAATTTTTTTCAGGTCGGGGGCCCGCCCGTGAGAAGTAGGAGGTTTTGTAGAGAAGCTCTGCGAGGGCACCTGCACCCAGGAATTCCTAACGCGTTTGCGTATATAGTTCGAGCTGTTTTTTGTTTTGATCGCATCTTGGATCCCAGAGCCTCGTTTTCCACTCTCGGGAGTGCACCGGGGCCCGAAAAAAAACGTACCAGGGCGCTGCTGGGGTCGTACATTTTTTTTTTTTTCTTTTTTCTGACGCAGTGCTTGTGCTGTTGCTGCTGCTGATGATGCTGCTGATGATGATGCTGATGATATACCGATGATGATGATGATGATGATGATGAGGATGAGGATGAGGATGAGGATGAGGATGAGGATGAGGATGATGATGATGATGATGATGATGATGATGATGATGATGATGATGATGATGATGATGATGATGATGATGATGATGATGATGATGATGATGATGATGGTGGTGATGATGATGATGATGATGATGTTGATGTTGATGTTGATGATGATGATGATGATGATGATGATGATGATGATGATGATGATGATGATGATGATGATAAGGAGGAAGAGGAGGCATAAGGTGATAATGGTGATGCTGCCGATTATGCTGCTGATGATTTTGCTGATGGTGATGCTGATGATTTTGCCGAGAAGGATGGCGAGGAGGCGGAGGAGGACGAGGACGGGGAGGATGAAAGAGAGGGATGAGAGATGAGGATGAGCAGGAGGAGAAGGAGGATGATGATGATGATGAAGAGGAGGAGGAGGAGGAGGAGGAGGAGGAGGAGGAGGAGGAGGAGGAGGAGGAGGAGCGCATCAAGGGAGGCATTGTGCGAGGGCACCTGCACCCAGGAATTCCTAACGCGTTTGCGTATGTTGTTCGAGCTGTTTTTTGTTTTGATAGCATCTTGGATCCCAGAGCATCGTTTTCCACCCTCGGGAGTGCACCGGGGCCCGGAAAAAAAGCGTACCAGGGCTCGCTGGGGTCGTACACGTTTTTTTTTTGTTCTGACGCAGTGCTTATGCTGTTGCTGCTGCTGCTGATGCTGCTGATGATGATGATATACCGATGATGATGATGATGATGATGATGATGATGGTGGTGATGATGATGATGCTGATGATGATGATGATGATGATGATGATGATGATGATGATGATGATGATGCTGCTGCTGCTGATGATGATGATGATGATGATGATGCTGATGATGATGATGATGATGATGATGATGCTGATGATGGTGATATGGAGGTTGAGGAAGAGGCATAGGAAGATAATGGTGATGCTTCCGATTATGCTGCTGATGATTTTGCTGATGATGATGATGATTTTGCCGAGAAGGATGACGAGGAGGAGGAGGAGGAGGACGAGGACGGGGAGGATGAGAAAGGGAGGGATGAGAGGTGAGGATGAGCAGGACGAGAAGGAGGATGATGATGAAGAGGAGGAGGAGGAGGAGCGCATCAAGGGAGGCATTGGCCTCCGTACCACCATGGCGCCTCGGAGTAGCCTGTTGCGGTGGAGGGTTATCCAGCTGCCTGGTACAAGTCCCGACTCCAATCATCCTTAGCGACGACTCACACACACAGACGTGGTTAGCTAGCCCCGTCCCCTTCCCTTCGCCTTCCTCGTCGCCATTCCTCCCTTCTCCGCCTCTCCAGGGACTTTGAGAAACATCCGAAGACCTCCGAAGACTTCTGTCGACTTCCAAGGACTCCGAAAACGCCAGAAAAACCATCATTCGAATAACTTGCTTCAGAGCGCTCTTCAGCGCAGCGCCCTTCCTCCTGCATCTACTTCCTCCTTCCAGATGCCCCTCCTCACTCCTCCTCCTCCTCCTCCTCCTCCTCCTCCTCCTCCAGGAACCAAGAACGCAGCGTCTGTGAGAGCCATTCGGAATGTCGATGATGCTGATTTTGTTAATGACGATGACGATGACGATGACGACGACGACGACAATGATGATGATGATGATGATGATGATGATGATGATGATGATGATGATGATGATGATGATGATGATGATCTAACGCTGACGACGATGATGATGATGATGCTGACGCTGATGATGGTGCGGCTGCTGATGATGATGCCAGTCATGATGACAATGATGAATATGACGATGATGATGATGATGATGGTGGTGATGATGATGCTGATGATGATGATGATGATGATGAGATGGATGATGAATCGGGTGGTGATGGTGATGCTGCTGATGACTATGCTGATGATGCTGCTGATGATGATGTTGCTGCTGATGCGGATGCTGCTGCTGCTGCTGCTGCGCATCCGACGCATGTCGTGCGCTAGAGAGCGCCCAGCTTTCACAGAGAACCCGCAGAGTACTTCCCACCGAATGTTCGCGTCGCCACGTGGCGGGGCCGCCTCGCGTGAAAATGAACGCGTTGATTTCCAAGGCGGGCCAGGAGGAAACTGAGGGGCATGAGGAGGAGTAAGAGGAGGATGGGGGAGGGGGAGGAGGCGGCGGAGGAGGAGGAGGAGGAGGAGGACGATAATGAGGAAGAGAACGAGAAGGAGGAAGAGGGAGGAGGAGGAGGAGGAGGAGGAGGAGACGGTGGAGGAGGAGGAATGAGAAGAGACAGCTGCGTATGATGATGATGATGATGATGATGATGCTGATGCTGATGATGATGATGATGATGATGATGATGATGATGATGATGATGATGATGATGATGATGATGATGATGATGATGATGTGATGATGGTGGTAGTGGTGGTGGTGA